CCACTCGTGACTCCATCGATCCTCCTGGTCCACCCGACCATAATGACCTGACAACCTATCGCCATCGAATCAAATACTAGAAGTGAATGCTACCAGAATAATTGTAGTCTTACATCATGTCCGGTCTCCAACGACCTATCGTTTCCTGATTCCAGTTATGTTGCAACCTACTCACAACCTTGCAAACGACCCATGCTGGCCTAAATTATCCGAACGAATATGCGAATGTCGCAGCTGCCCTGCAGTCTGTCTGCATCTCCTACACTATCTGGCCGTTGTGAATGCTACATCTCCCCCGTAGTCTTACAACACTTTCCACACTACCTGACTACGAGTAAATGCTACGGCTCCCCCGTAGTCTTACAACACTTCCATACCAACACATCATTAGTGAATGCTACGGTTCCCTTGTAGTCTTACAACACTTTCATCTTAACACAGCCGTAGCCCAAATACCTTACCCCTATTCTATCGATTCAAAACGCGAGCGGAGTCAATCACACACTCGACCGATCACCCGAACTTAACTCGGTTTTCGACTGAAGTCCCAACCTGCCTCCCCATATTCTGCTATCAAGCCGCTAAGAAGACGCGGTTCACACGTTGGGGAGTTTTACCGAACTCCAAACTCACACAACCCTCAAACCAAACAGCAACTTGGGCCGCCCTTTTTCTCTCGATGAGGATGAGAAACCCATCCCGGTCTCACATATCCTGTCCCTGTCCTGAATACCTACGTGATTCTCCCCCACTTAGATTCGACTAAGTCCTCGCATTACATGAGATTTGAAGGATTACCGATCCTTCTTACTCTGTAATAACCAACTACTGAAAACATGTTCCTTGTCCGTGCGAGTGCTCTATTACGGGCCCAAATCCCCAAGGACCACACACTCCTAAAGATCAGACAAACACTTCCCGAATCCCAGCGAGACTAATAATCTCAGACGCCTTGAAATGATTCCCCACCTATATCTTGAGGTTCGAATAACCGATGTCCAGGCCAAGGCCTCAACAGTAAACCACTTCCCCTTGCGCTTCTAAAAGCCGACTCGAGCATAATGGCCGAGTCACCAATCCTGTCTGTAGGCCTTCTGCATCATGTCCCGGAACCGATCTCGACCCTAGACCCAGATAACATTGAACGCTCCAAACCAGCAAAGAGGGAAACAACTTTTCACTAACCACCCCGTAACTCACGGTATGCAAAAGGCATATGACCAATGTTTGAATATATAGTCCAAACACAAACAGGGCAACACACCCAGAGATACACTTATGCAATTTCTTGCAAGTACCGCACTAAACACAGCCCTGCTGGCCTCTCACGACTGACTCGAACCCTTGGGTTCCTTTCCGGGACCCTCCAATGTATGTACCTGATCTGATCCCCTTTTCCCAATGTGCTCCAAATCAATCCCTGCTCTCGAGCTCTAGAAATCATATCATTCAGGGTCTCGCACCCTAGCACACTCACCAGCTCAATCGTTAACGGATGAACTGCAATCGTTGGAGCAACCTCTACTCTATACCGGGCTACTAACCATCCCCAAGACATAGTATCCAACCCCAAAAATGCGATAGAACGCACAATCACCCGTGCCGTCCGATACGAGAGATCCACGACGATCTCAAAATCCTGACAGTCCTTCCGCTATCTGGCTCACCACCGGAGCCGGGACCAAACCCTGGTCCTCCCTCATGTGTGCTTATCCTCATCTGGCAAAGCAGCTATCCCCACTATCAAACATAACCAAAAATTCTCCTTCCCAGGCTTCTTAAATTCTTCAAGACTTTTCCCGATTCGAGTATAGATCCTGTGCTTTCAGTAGTACGGGCCCAATACTACCTTCCACACCTATCCATACTTTCCTCCAGAATCATCCCGAATCCTCTAAGTCACCTACTCCTATGATGTACCAAATGTCTGTTAAACAGCATCAAAGTATCCACCGAAGCACCTCCTAGGCTCCCCCTAGGTTCCCAACCTACCCAATCCTCAGCTGCTGAAAGATTCCCAGTAATGTCAACTAGCTACCTTATGAATATAGCCACATGTAGCAGAGATCAGATAATCCTTCAAGTAAAAGACTCAATCCTAGAACGGTTAGAATCAAACAAGAGCTGCGCAATAGGGCCAAATTCATCACTCTGAGATTATCCAACCTGTGCCACATGTGACCTAGCATATTCACTTAGTAGCTAGCTCGCATTGCTAGAAGTCCCACAAAACACAAAGCAAGCAACATTCGAACAACGGAAAACTAATCACATATTCAAAACAAACAATTCTACCTATGCATACAATTCGCAATCAGGTAACTCATGTCACTAATCTCATCCTGGGCTTACCCTAGGGTAATCCCTGACCCACGAACTATCATAAAACATTCGGCCCATAAACCACGACCCATGCTGTCCACATCCACCCTCGCTGTTGGCTGCCTTATGCATGCAAATTATACACAGAATAGGATCCAATAGACTGTCGAATAATAGACTCTACCCTAGGACCACAACAAACAAGGAACATGAAATAAGGCCAAATCTATTATTCTAAGGCTATAAGATCCTAACCGTATACAATTTTAAGAGCATACACATAGCAGTTACAAATACCCATTATCATTCTCATTCCAGCATGGCATCCAATATTCCAAGGCTACAAGCATCACATATCAGGCCAACCTATTGCTGACTACTCAACACTAGCATGCAAGTCTACCAGATCATACAACATATACATGCATCTCCCCTAGCCCTAACTAGAATGCGAGTAATAGATTCATAAACCAAGTCATAACAGACAACATATGTGGGTATTCTGGGAAAACTTACTTGAGCTCGGCTGATTGCACGCATCACACACATTGTTCTTTTCAAAGTTCCTTTCCTTTTTTAGCTTCTTTTTCAAATTCTTTTTTTTTTGTAAAAACGTTTTTCTTTTGGAAAATTTCATACCAAGTCCTCAGTCTGAGTCCAGACACACCCGAGAGTGTGCCCGAATCCCTCAAACCAAGGCTCTGATACCAACTTGTAACGACCCAAAAATCGGGGGTAAAACTTTCATTTTTAATATAACCCAAATACAAATATCATTTATTCCAATCATTCCAAAACATTGTTAATTAAAAACATTTATCAGAGTTCATCCCAAAATCCTTCATTGCGAAAAACATGGGTGTGTGCGCTGCGATCAAGCTGAGTCCTTCCTTTCCAAAACAAAGATACCTGAAACCATAAACAAAATTGTAAGCACAAAGCTTAGTGAGTTCCCCAGAGCATAACCCACACACAAACACGTACAACATATCATGCTGGCTAAACAGTTATACATAACACATAAGCCATGCAAAACAACACATAAGGAAGCCCTGGAAACCCTCCGGGGTCTTACTCCGGGTGCCATGGGAACCCCCACATGGTCTTAGCCCAATGCCTCGGGAACCCCCCGAGGTCTTTGACCTAGGTTGCCAAGGAAACCCTCCAAGGTCTTACACCTAAGTGCCTCGGGAACCCCCCGAGGTCTTGACCTAGGATGCCAAGGAAACCCTCCAAGGTCTTACACCTAAGTGACCCAGGAACCCCCCGAGGTCTTCCATGCAAGTATCACAAAGACCACTAGCATATCACGTACCACAAAATCAGTTAGCATACCACATAATCACTAGCATACTCCCTATCACATAACCAGCTAACATACCACATAATACAACTTCAACTAGTGTATCACATATCATAAAATGGGTCGGCATTGGTGCCTTAGACCCATTGGTATGGTGAGGAGACTCACCTGGCACTGCTGAAGTCCCGCAGATAAAACCCCAGTGCTGGTTGACAGGTTCCCGAACTGTCAACATCAAACAATACCCAATTAATAGTTGGTTCCCAATGCATAACCACAACTCCATACTTAGGGTAAAAGACTACTTTACCCTAACATAGTTTTATTCAGTCCAAGGCCCAATCCAAAGGCCCAAAAGTCAAACCATGGACCAAAGCCCAACATATGGCCCAATTTTCCAAATTAGGCCCACCCTTTACATGGTCTCATTTAAAGGCCCGACCATTTAGTCCAGTCCAAACATTTGGCACTCTAATGGCCCAATATCATATAATCATTAAGGCCCAAACTATGGCCCATCTATGGCCCAATTTTCCAAATTGGGCCCAAACCCCTTACATGGGCCTTTCCCTTGGCCCATTAAATTATTCTAATCCAATTGCTTATTCTTGGGTGGCCCATTATTAACCCAATCATCAAAGCCCAATAGAAAGGCCCAACTAAAGGCCCAAGTAAAATTAGGGTTTCACATAAAATGATGATTAGGGTTAGGTGTTCCTACTTAACTCATTAAGGACTTATTCCATTAAGGACTTAATCCATTAAGTCCAATATTGCTTTAGATTAATTTGCCAACGATTATTAATTAATATTTCAAGTTCATTAAATAATTCTGATGCGGTCCCGATAAGTCCCAAATTAGGGTTTCACGACATTAGGGTTTTCCGAACCCTAATTAGGGTTTCCAACCCATCTTAGCCCCATAGGCCCATTAGCTAAGTCCTTAGATCCATTAGGGTCCATTAAGCCCATTAGAAACATGTTTGGGCTTTAATGTCAATTAGGGCTTCACCGGGCCCATTAGGGCTTATGTCCCTTGTCCAAATATCACAAACGAGTCACCATACAACGAGGCACACCATCACCCGACACGGCGGTCGGTGGTGGCAGCCACCTCCCTACGGTGGTGGTTTGAGTTTTCTTTTCATTATACTAATCACCGATTACATTTTACAATGCTTAACTCAAAATAACACATAAAAATAAAATGCACACATAGCCACCATGCATTGGCCGACGGTGACGAGTGGTGGCAGACACCATGGCAGCCATGGCGGTTAAGGCAGCCGACGGTCGGTCGTTGCGGTTCACAGCCTCGTTGGCGGCTTGAAGCAACACGGAGGCAGGAGGCGCTCCATCCTCGTCTCCAGCAGCGATGGCTATCGGTAACGATGCAACAGTGGGTCTCCCGATCTCTACAAGTGAATCACGTCGGAGCAGCAACCATCGTCTTCGTCAGCAGCTAGGTAGCAGCGGCGGCGTTGCGATGGCTAGAAGGTGGCAATGGGACAGCCGGAGCAACGACAACGATCCAAACGGCGACGATCATGACTGAGAAGTAGCTACAGGAGAACGGGGAAAGAAGAACACGACGGGGAGGTGGCAGAACGGAAGAAGATGCGAAGAGGGTGGCGGCTTCCACCGGAAACAGCAGCAGCGACATCCCGGGTGTGCTCCATTCAATCATCCGCATCCATGATGTCTAACGGCGGCTTTTGTCTTGAACCGGACGGCACCACAATGGCTCAGTGGTGCAAGGTGACTACGGGAGAGATGGCAGCGGCTGGAGGGAGGATACGTGAAGTTAGCGGCTGAGGATATGAGAGTCTAGGGTTAGGGTTACGAACAAAGTGACGGGTTTATACCCGTACACATGCAAACTTTGTCCTTCATCCACTTCCAACCCCTCCCCCCATAATCTTTTCAACTTTAATCCATTATTTACCAATTAAACCCCTTCTATAATAGTTCATTACAATTCTAGTCCCAGAAGTTACCTGTAACATCCCCAAAATTCAAGGCCAAAAATTTCATTTGTAAATAAGTTATTACATAAACCATCAGTATAAAAACATTCATAATAATATCTCGTGTCAAGCCAAAGTGTCAGTAATCAAAACATATTATCATAAAACCATATCAGAGTGTGATCCCAAAGATCTCATGTGCGGAAAACATAGTGTGATGCGCTGCGATCGAGCCGACTCCTTTCCTTGTAAACAAAGTACCTGAAACCAAAACTGAAAACCGTATGCACGAAGCTTAGTGAGTTCCCCAAATACCACATACCATACAAACCAACTGATCCAAACATGCCATACATAGATAAGAGCCATACATAACCAACATATCCATAATCAAGTAAGGTGCTATGTGCCAAACATAGTCTTGCTAAGGTGCTATGTGCCAAACATAGTCTTGCGGTTATGCCACGGGCCATACGTGGTCTTCCTGGTCAAGCCTGGGGCCACTCCCTGGGTCTTACAGACAAGTGCCAAGGGACACCCCCTGGTCTTTCATGCAAGTATCACAAAGACAACTATACAGACTACTCTACTAGGCCACTCCGCATATAGTGTGCGAGGAGCCACCCCCTGGTCTTTCATACACAATAGCATACAGTGCGCCAGGAGCCACCTCCTGGTCTTTCATACATATTGCCTAGGGCTAACCCCCGGGTCTTCCTATCATACATAATAACATACTGTGTGCCAGGAGCCGCCTCCGGGTCTTTCATGCATTATGGCTAGGGCTAACCCCCGGGTCTTCCTACCATACATAATAACATACTGTGTGCCAGGAGCCTCCTCCTGGTCTTTCATGCATAATGCCTAGGGCTAACCCCCGGGTCTTCCTACCATACATAAACTCAATGGGTCGGCACTGTGGCCGTAGACCCATACAAACAGTGAGGAGACTCACCTCGCACTGCTGAACTTTGCTGATAACCCTCTGGCTGCTGTCCGACCACTTTCTGAACCGCTGATCCACTAGCTCCCCGAGCTACTAATATCAATAAAACACTTAGTTCCAAACTGAACTCTAGAAGTCAAACTAAGTCAACTCTGGCTAAAGTCAAAGTCCTGGTCAAAGTCAACCTTCCAGTTGACTCGACTCGCCGAGTCAACCCGAAGACTCGCCGAGTCCTTAAACTCAGAAGCTCTCAAAATACGAACCAACTCGCCGAGTCACCCCAGGACTCGTCGAGTTCAACGATCTCTGAGTCCCATCCTGTCCAACTCACTGAGTCACCACTCAACTCACAGATCTGCGTCTTAACCAGAAGAGGTTGGGGGTTCTGCAACCTGACTCGTCGAGTCCAAGAACAGACTCGCCGAGTCCTAGGCAATCTTCAACAGACTCGCCGAGTTGTTCTTCCAACTCGTCGAGTCCATGCACTTATTCATACAACTCATCGAGTACACCCATGTGACTCGCCGAGTCTCTCCAGTTCTCAATCCATACAGTGGCTTTTCGAGCCATGCAGGGGCTCCAATCCATAGATCCACTCTTCTAGAGTCTATCCCCCACATAAAGTTGCAAACTTTACGTGAAACCAAGGAGATATAGGCCCGAAACACTCTAGGGCTAGGGTTTAAGATAAAGGGGCTTCACCAATGACACATTGACTGCTGCTTTAAGACATTCTGGACCATCACAACCCTAGATCTGAAGTAGCAACCTCAGATCTAAGCCCCAAACCCGAAATAGACCTCAATCTTGCCAAAATAGCCCCAAATCTCATTCAATAATAGATCTAGATGCAAAAAGGGTGAAGGTAACAGCTTATTACCTCCAAGATGACCTCCCACTGAAGATTAATCCAAATCTCTGCAAACCCCCTTGATCCAAGCGTCTTGATCTTCAAGATCTCTTCACAAAACCACTTATCTAAGCTCCAAATTGCTTCCAAGGACTCTCACTCACGATTTAGGGTTTCTAGATCTCAAAAGGGTAGCAAAGAGGCTGGGGAAGAGATGTAATGTTCTTTAAATAGGGCACAACCCTCAGGATTAGGGTTTTTCTCGTCCAGACTAGACTCGCCGAGCCCACTAGCTGACTCGCCGAGTCGGTCACTTACTCTATGCCCCGGATCCTGCTCCGACTCGTCGAGTTCCTCCCTGGACTCGACGAGTTGACTCTTGACTTAGAGCCTTTCCTTTCTTTTCTTGGTATTTCTGATTCTGGGTGTTACAACACTCCCCCACTTAAACTAGACTTCGTCCTCGAAGTCTGCCACGGCCAACTACCTTACCATCTGGTCGCCACTTTACCACAAGGTACACACTCCGCCCACCCGATCCAAACCTTGAAGATGTCATCTTCAGAATAACCCGTTACTTACTACCTTCGAGTACAACACTTTTATCCAACCGGTAATCATACTGATACTCCTGATACACTTACCCTTGATTCGCAAGGGGTTATCCTTTTACCCTACACTGTCACTGGCCTTTCTATGGCACTTTCCATAAGCAACAACCTTCCCAATTTCCTTCGAGGACCGATCCTCTGCTGAAACCGCAATCCCGGCCACTCCCAATGCCGGCCATCATACCAATACTCACAGAATAACCCCCATACAATGCTCCAATACTGAAAGCTCCACCCAATCGTGAGAATTCAGACAATCCTTCGGGTAATAGATCCCTCTCTGCTACGTTTAAGGCTCAGACGAGAACGACGTCACCGAGCCAAATCCTTTACTCTGAGATCATTCGATCCCGCGATGAGCAGCTTAGCATCATCCGATCAGCTCACGGCTTTTCACACCGAATCCCTTACCATCATTCTTGCCTGTAGTCCTGTTGACTCCCATCAACCTACCGGATGAACCGAGACCGCCCTGGTCCCAACTGATCTACCATTACCAGGAATACCGGTTTCCCCCATGCCACCTCGGAGATACGGGCCCCGGGCCCACACTCCGCGAACTAAGCTACTAATGAATGCCACGGCTTACCCACAGTCTTACGCCACTCTTGGTCTCCAATGACCTACCGCCTTCCGGACCCAATCATAATGTGGCCCACTCACATCCGGGCGGCTGCCCCGTCCTGAACTTAACTATCTGAAAAACCCGGCCACTGAATCACACACCTGATACATTCGCACTAGCGAATAGGGACCGACGAATGCTACGGGCCACCCCGTAGTCTTACTATACTCGCTCTGTCAACTAGTGAATGCTACGGCCACCCACATAGTCTTACAACACTTCTGTGCTGCCAGCCAACTAAAGCTACGGGCCACCCCGCAGTCTTGCTAAACCAGTGCTACGGGCCACACCGCAGCCTAACTATACTCACATACGATTGCTACGGGCCACACCGCACTCTTACTAAACTAATGCTACGGGCCACACCGCAGTCTTACTAAACTAATGCTACGGGCCACACCGCAGTCTAACTATCCTCACATACGATTGCTACGAGCCACACCGCAGTCGCACCACACTTCGACGCTATCTGCTAACCATTGCTACGGACCGCCCCGCAGTCTTACCACACTCTTCTTACTATCTGACCACTGGTAAATGCTACGGCCATCCGGTAGTCTGACAACGCCTTTCCACACCGACTGGCTGCTAGTGGATGCTACGACTAACCCATAGTCGAGCATACAAGCACAATCTAGTACCCCCAAGTGGTACTCATGTCTCAACTGGAACTCCCAACCGATTCCTCTGCAATCTGCTACCAGACATCTCGAGAATGAGGTCTCACAATTGGCAAGTTTTCCAAACTTCCAATTCACACTGTCCTCAATTCATACAGCCACTTGGGCCGTCTTTCTTCCTGACAGGAGAGCAGAACTTATCCTAGTTTCAAAACCTCTTCTGCTCCCATAACATGATTGTTTCTCCCCCACTTAGCTTCAGCTAAGTCTTTACTGCACGCGAGAACCCGAGGATTTCCATTCCTTCCTCCCTTGCATAAAAGGCATGATAACTACCATCGCCTTGATGTCGCTAGCGATCCATCACTAGTCCGCTCCAAATACCGCTTTTGGTCATAATCGAGATAATATTGGACACTTCGAACCCGAAGTGAGGGATGACCCTACACTAGCTACTAGTAGTTCCCGGTATGCAATTGGCATATGACAATTCTGAAAGTACAATCTGAATACAAGCAGAGAGAGAACTCATACATACTATCACCTGAGTCCGGGGTAAGAACAACCCTAATACACATAGAATCGAAAATAGCCATAGATACGTACCTGCAACATTCCCTGCTGTAATCCAGATCTCCCTCATCTGTCACTGCAAGGCCCTACCCTCTCACCCATCCGTAATCCTCAAAGTTGTCGGGGCAGACGCACTCCCTGCTCCTCCCCTCACCGTCGGGCAGTCGGCCTTCTTGTGTCCCACCTGATTGCAGTGAAAACATAGTGAGCTTGCCCCCTGTGGGCAGTCCCTGCTGACGTGACCATCACTGCCACACTTGTAGCAGCCTGAACCCCTGGAACGACAAACTCCCTCGTGTGGTTTCCCGCACGTGCTACACTGACTTCGGACCTGCCGACCTACTAATCGTCGATCTGAAGTCTTGGGTCTCTTCCCGGGACCCTCCAAAGTATACGTCTGATCCGACCTCCTCTTCGCAATGTGCTCCAAATCAATCTCCCTTTCCCGCGCCCTGGCAATCATAGAGTCCAGGGTCGGGCATGCCGAGAAGCTGACATGCTCCCGAATATCAGCTCTCAACATGTCATGATAGCGGGTCCTCTGCATCTCATCATCCCCTGCATACTGAGGCACCAATAAGGCCCTCTCCCGAAACTTGGCGGTAATCTCCGCCACCGACTCT